TTCTAAAAAAGGAGAAGATTTTTCATTGGCAATTTTCGTGGATACCGCACAATTCCTCATGAACCTTACATAAAGATCATTACAATAGAATATTTAATAATAGTTCCCCCGAGAAATGTATAGAAAACGATCCACGCTTCCTGAAATACCCGATGAACGAGGTGGTCCATCGACATCACCGCCATCTTCTCATATACATTCAAGTGAATATACTCCAGATGAGTTCTATAACAATGGTGGTCAACCCAGGTCTCCCGAAAGAAGGTACACCACGCAAGAACAATCAACTCGACAACAATACCAACAATACCAGCAGATACCACCAGGTGGGTCTCAACAAACACAATCGCATGGCCTCGATGATAGATTAGATGCTACCGGTACGGAAATTGAAGAAGAGGAGAATACGGATTTTTGGCAAGAGGCTTTTGTTCCCAAGAGTGGATCCAGCGAATCTCAAGGTAATTACAGAGCATTGCATACACAACTGAAGATGACTCATATATGCACAAAGTGAACATCGTCAATTGATTCTTTGTTTTTGTAAAAAAGATGTGAATGCTTTGACTTCGTCGGATTTAACCTCCGCTCAAAATGAACCGAGTGAAAAAGTGATTCCTCCTCTTCGAAGATCGGGATCGGCCTTAGAAACGAGGAAACCAAAGGATTATCAAAGGTCTGAATCTCGCGGAGCTGGAAAACCTTCATTATTAAATCATTCAGATAGCATTAATCGACCCCGTCCCAAGGCGGACGGAAATAATCCTATGATGAGAACTGATTTTGAAGCCGAAGGTCAACCTCCACATCGATCGAAATCTCTCGTGAAACCGGAACGTGCTCGTCCGATATATCGCAGAAACACTTTTCATAGACAGGATTATGATAGTGAAATAGAAAAACCACGTCTTGTTAATGTCGCCAATGATAGACGAAGACTGCCCGAACGAAGGAACAAAAAAAAGTGGTACCAATGTGAATTCCCTTCTTCTTGGGTAATGTTCTCAAGATGTATCACCTGTTGGGCCCCTCCGTGTTTGCTATCTTGTTTTGGTGAGCAATTCGTTTTTTTTTCTTTCCACCCCTGAAAATGATGCATAAATTGGACTAAAATAGTGACTCTTTGCAGGACTCAGCGATAGATTAACCCAACAAGCGTGGCGCGAAAAGATTGCCCTCGTATTCATCATTTTAATTCATTGCGCTGCTGTGGGTTTCTTAACTTTCGGAATAACTCAGGCTTTTTGTGGGATACCGCCCGCGCGGGTTAGGGTCAATGAGTTGGGGTTTCATCGGAGCGTTATACTTGGGAAGGTATATGATATTAGCGGTTATAAGCATACTGTATACCCAGATTTTATCGATGATGAAAATTTGGATGCGGAAAGTAACCATGCCGGTGGACACGATTTATCTTTCTTGTTCCAAGTTGTGAATCAGAACTGTGCGGGGTTGCTCGTTAATAATGCTAGTGGAAAGCTAGACAATTACTTTCCATGCGTGCCGACCGATGATTATTCCACACCGAACCCTCTGGAAAATGTAATTAACAAAGGTTGCCATTTAAGTGCAAAGTCTGCCATAAAACAGCTCAGATATGTTGGTGACCTATATTATGATTGGGACTATGTTACTCGAAAGGATCGTGATTTCATAGTTTACAATGGGCAAG